ACTCATTATAATATAAGATAATTATTTTGTTTTTATTAGATAAATATTTTATCTTCTCAAAAATGAGCCTATCTAGCTTTCCTAGTAACAACAGCTGCAATATAAAAAGAACAAGGTTCACTAAGGTCCTCTTTTGGCCCTGTGAAAGTCAAAACTGCTCAGTTTTAGTTTAAAATACATTAAGTTTTACTTGGACCCTTTGGTGACTGCATATCTGTTAAAAATGATGCAAATCTCTTACTAGTCCATGTATTATATGCCATCATAAATTGTCATTATCCTCAAATCCTGAAAATTTCTTCAAAAATGCATGGCCAAAAATTTAAGCCATTTTTTTGATATTTTGCATATAGAGCCCAACCTCTGATCCAAAATGTGCAATTATATAATCAAAGAACTGTTTATAAAGATTATCATATACGTTTTATATTTTGGATTGAGGGGTGGGCTCATATTTTAATTCTTTGCTGAAGGTACTCAAATACACCCATTTTCTGCAAAAATCAAGATCAATGCAATTTAACAAAGCCGTTTTTAAATATCTGGACTTTCAGAGGAACTCTTTTTATATAAATGAAGGCACTATCTCTACTTTATATTGATGTTTCAAATGGGACATTGGATTTTGGCTACTTAATTGGTACATGGGCAGGGCCATTTCATGGATAAAGCAAACATAGTCCTTTGATTTACAGTCTTGATATCGTATTTTGTTTATGAAAATTAGACCCACACTGTAGGAGACATAGCATTTTTGAAGAAAACATTTTTCTATATAAGGTGGTAATCATGTCAACAGTTCATCAAAATTTAAAGAAAATTAATAAAAGAACTGTCACCTAATTGAATAAAAAAATTAATTGAAATTGGACTTCCATTGTAGAATGGTGTATTATGAAACATGTACAGTAGAGGGTGTAAATGTTTGAAAGAATTTTACAAAGTATTGTTGCTGTTTAGAGAGCTAGACAAATAAGGAAGTCAGATAATGGACATTTCAACATCACAGAAGCTACTCAGGTATACCACCAGTGGAGCTACAGAGCAGTATCCATAATAATTAATAACTGCAAGGCATTTCTTGCCTTTATTTAATACCTGTTTCAAATTCATAGTTTTATAACACTTCTATTGTAGCAATATCAAATGGAAAATTATTTTTGAAAAAATAATAAGAATACATGTACTGTCATGTGCTAGTGTTATGGTGTAAAAACAACATGAAATAATGACCTATTTGCTACCTGATATACAAACTGATTTCTTTCAAAGTACAAAGCTCATATTCAGAAAAATAAACGTCAATATAAATAGAAAGATGTTGTCAAACCTGTTCAGTAACTCAGTATCACATATGCATTGAAAAGATTTAAGTTTATTGAAACTTGCATGACATTATTAATATGTCAGTTATATCCAACCGCATACTAGTACCCTCAAAATGCTAAAATATCACACATATTTACTCTGGAATCACCACATTTTATGGGGGTTCAATTTCTATGTATACCCTAGCTTATCCATGGAATTACAACTTCAACCAACATGAATTAAAATGATTACACATTTTTCAAGATCACCACTGTACAGTCATAAAAATGTTACACACCTTGCGGGAGATTAAGGATCATCACCATACAGTCATAAGAATGCTACATGCCATGCGGGGGATCTGGTATCATCACCATACAGTCATAAGAATGTTACATGCCTTGCGGGGGATCTGGTATCATCACCATACAGTCATAAGAATGTTACACACCTTGCAGGGGATCTGGGATCATCAATGAACAGTCATAAGAATGTTACAGGCCCTGCGGGAGATTTGGGATCACCACTGTACAGTTATAAGAATGTTACATGCCTTGCGGCGGATCTGGGATCATCACAGTACAGTCATAAGAATGTTACACGCCTCACGGGAGATTTGGGATCATCACTGTAAGTGTTAATGGGCTCTGGATTAATACAGGCCAGACTGGGGTTCAAACAAGCTGCCAGTCCCTCCTTCACCCCACCTGGATCCCCTATAGTAGAGTGATGGTCTAACTTTGGACTGTTCTCATTTTCAATGTTCAGGTCTAAGGACTCCCCCAGTCCTTCATCTGCCCGGAGGGCACCAAGACCCCTCCTTGGACTGCGGCGACGAAGATTATTTGGTTTTTCTAGAAAAGACACGGATGTATTGTCCTTTTCTGACCTTTCAGAGGTCTTGCCCTGCGAGGATTTATCCAGGGAGGTGTAATCCGGGGGAGGATTTTTGTTGTGAGTCTCATTGATAGTTCCCATGGTGATTGACCTTTTTAACCTCTCTAGGTTGACTTGGTTGCGTCGTCTGCAAGATCTACGATCTGAAATGGACATAGAACATAGTGTTCTGATTAATCTGGTGTGCTATTCAAATATTCTCCTTTCAAAATATATGAAATATTTACAGTATTTAAGATATGAAATAATAAATTAACATTTTTAATTCAGAAAAAAAACCTATGTTGAATAAAGTGTGCTTTTTAGAATTTGACTTGAAGAGAAAAAAATTTTACAACACAGAAGAAAGTGATGTGAGAAGGCAGGCAGTTTTGTTTCTATGAGTACACAATTACAGACAACAAACATGGTGTTCAAATAAGTGGGAAAAAAAGGTAGAAATTTGGTACAGCTAATGTACAGAAAAAACTTTTAAAAGCAACAAAAAAATGTGTAGCACTTTACATAATTGTACATACTGCAATTTTGTTCCAAGATATAATTGCTAATTTATATCAAATAGAGGTACAGTCTTAAAATATCAGTTTTAGATTTTAAAAAATATTTAATGACATTTAAGAATGTGCTATTTTAGTCTTAATTTACATTGAATTTAGTGTTTATAAGAGCCATAAAATTACAGAAAAAGAGGTCACATCTCTCACCTGAATCACACTGCTTTTACTGAATTCAGAAGATACCTGGTACTTTATTATGGCCTAAACTATAACAATCTAAAGTACATTACAATATTTGCTCTTTGAATGAACAAATATTATTAAAGTCTACACTGGGTAAGCTTATCATATTGAAAATGTCTACATATTAAAATGTTGGACTCTACTGAAAATGTAAAATGTACTAAAGGGTACAGAGATCAGAGATCAATGACAAAGGGATGAAAAACAACCCATAATGGATAAACTCTCTACTACATAGTCAGAAGGGGTTATTCAACTTTGTAACATATTTTCTTTAACAAACAGCTGATTTTGTCTTCAACATTCAACAATTTCAAGAGTATTCTTATGTATTTTGATTTCACTTGACTTATACAAACTGTAATATGCTGGCCAGGATTTACCTATAGTTCACAAAGTACAGCTAAATACATGTAATTAAACTTTGTTTAAGATTCATAATCCCCCCGTTTCCTCATATAAAATGTTGCTTTAATACCGGTACTTTTGATTTTCCAATAGAAATGTATTTCGTAAGTAGGGGTGGCAACAATTAACTGAATAACCGACTTATCAATCAGAAAGATTGAAACTGGTTATGATTTTCATAATCGGTTAGTCAATTTTTTTTTTGCAGTATATGTATTTTTAATAATAATTTTTTTTTTTAAATCTAAAACTCATAGCTAACATGTTTAAAAATGAAATGCTACCATATACCAATCAAATATTTTACAATGCCACTGCTGTCAAAAAAGTCCCAGCCCATAATTTAGTCATTATAACTCTAATACAAATCAAAGTTTAAGTACCCCCTCATAAAAAAATTTACCTGTCATGCGTTAAAAATAACAACTAGCATAATTTTCTACTTAGCAATGTTTTACAAATTAATTCATCTTGTTCAGTGCGATACTTTACAATCTATTCAGCGAAATGCCACTAACCACAATTAATCCAGAGTTTGGCGATATTTTAAGAAAGACCTGGATGGCAAAATAGTACAAAAACCTAAGATCACACAATTTTTACACTTCCTCACTTTTTTAAACACCCAACAATAAAAATAGCAGAATCAGAATGGGGGGGGGGGGGGTAAATTGCAAATTTAGCAGGCATCTTGAATTCAGTGGATAATGAAATCTTTTTAATATGAAAATAAGAATAATAGTGGAGTTGCAAATTTAATGTCAATGCTGGTGAAAATAATTGGTTTGACTCTGATTGCAATATGTTCATGTTAATATGTTTTCCTCCCTTTATTAAAAAGTAAAGAATTTGATTATCCTAGTTCCTAGTTAGCATTTTTTTTTTTTTTTACAAATTTGTTTTTAAAAATATAAATTGAAAAATTCATAAAAAAATTACAAACAAGTCTCATTTTTTGTGGTTATTCAGTCAGAAAAATTTACATCTAATCAGTTACAAAAATGTTTCTGATTGCCATAAAGGAATAAAAGACATTTATCCTGTTAAGAGTTATCTCCCTTATCAGAGTATCGATGAACCTTTAACGGAAAAGAAAAGTACTTCAACATTTTAAAGATTATATTTTGATGTTCTAGTGGAAATTTATTCAGCTTACTTTTTAGGGATGTCAACCCAGAAAAACAAATCAACTTCTAAATGACATCTTAATGTATCTTTATGGAGTCTGATAAAGGTACTCTCTGAATAGTACGTATTAAAACACTGTTAGTCTCGATTAGTACAAAAACGAAAATAGATAAGAAATCTATAGTCAGAAAGCAGATTCTGCATAAATATATTTGAAGTTCTTGTATAAGCAAGATTCTGTGAGAAGCTCAAGTAAAAAGTAAGAGATATAAAAAAGAAAGACACCTTAGAAGTCACTAATATATGAACAGCGGTCATTTTTGTTAGTATAAGGCAAGCCATTGTATTATAATTAGTACACATAATATGAAAACTATCTCACACCTTTCACAAGAAAATTCCAAGTCTGATTAAATTTTAGTTAAATAGGATTTTCCTGTGAAATACTTGCAGTATATATTTTAAGCCATTTGTTTCATGTCCAAGCTTATACCTGAAGAGTCACTGGGCCTGCTTCCAGTCCTTATATTTCCCATCAGCTGTCGTCCAAGTGCTTGGGGACTTTAATAAAACTGTCGCTTATATCATTGGATCACATTGAAAAAAAAAAATCACAGAAAAAAAGTTGTGTGTAAACTACATGACCATCAAATTATGGAAGACAACAGTTACATTCAAGCACTGCAGTGATTCTTATAGCCACAACATCACTATGGTAACAAAATGGAGGAAGAAAATGTCATCTGGCATGTTGTCCCCAAACAAAAAACAAGGATTCAAACATGACGGAAACATTTGGACTGCCAGATAACATAAGTACATCAATTCTACAGAGAGATCTTGTATGGAAAATGGACTACCATGTGAATACTGGAGAAAAATATAATGCTGTTTACAAAAACATGGAAGAACACTTTCTTTTCTCTCTGACAACTTTTTGCATCCATATGGTAGCCCTTAAGGCTAGAGAGGAAAAGAGAAGAAAAGCATTGGATTGCTTTGATAAACACTGATATAAAAGGAAAGTGTGCTTAATCCATAGGGAAGCCATTTTGACTCTGTGTGGAATCAAAACTCTCTGAGAGCCCCCCACAGAGTTGTTTCCAATAACGCATCTTCTTACTGGTTGGTTTTGGCTGGTTGGGGTTCGGAGTTCGCATTCCGTTATTGCGTAATATTTCAAGCAGTTCATATCTAAAAGAGGATATGTCTTGTTTGATTTCTTGTACGTCGTCTTCTGTGACACCCTCCCCCCTAAGTGGACCTCTTTGCTTTTGCATGATGTATCTTTTTATCAAGTCTTTCATAACACGCTGAAAAGTAAAACTTTTTTAAATAAACAGTCTGCCACAACATATTATTTGTTATAAGGTATATTGTGATGAAGTGATTTATGACTTTACATATTAATCTCCCAAGATCGCATAATAAAAATCAATAGTATATATAATGATTGCTTTAATCAAATGACAATTGAAACTACTAGTCCATGCACAGTAAGTTATTCTCCATAATAACATACCTGATACCTAATTTCTTTTTCATTAATTTTCTTTACAATTTTCTGGAAAAAATGAAAATTTCAACATTACAATTCTTAACACAATTAATTCTTTACTAAGTGTTAATAAGCATTTGATTCATTAAATGTCTCTGATCATTCATATGGTACAAGTCTGTGAGAAGACTGTAGCTCTACTGATTTGGACTTGTTGACAGAAAGAATTCAGCAACTGACATCTCTTTTGTTTTGAAAGAACTCTTAGAAATAATTATAACACTTATTTACTCTATTCAGAGATCATTTTAAATGAAGGAATTTTGATTTAATTTTTAGATTCAATTTTACTTCTTATGCCCTGTTCACATGGACAATTTAATTCACTGCAAATTAAATCTGAACTGCATTCACACAGAGAATTTAATGTGAATTAGTTTAATTTGAATTAATTTTCTGCATATCAAATTGCTTTGCAATGACTCTGTGAAAGCTAAGTGAAGCTAATTTGAATTAAATTTTCATACATGTGTAATGGCAAAATTAAGGCAATGCCTCATGTTGGTAGTCAGATATAAGTACTTATGCTATTTTTAAGTAAAAAACAAAGGAAAATTAAGTTTACTACTAAAAATGTACAGACACTATAGCATTATGTCAAATGTATTATCTGCTCTGCATAATGTGACATGATTTGCAAATTACTTTTTTAATAGTCTTTCTTTAGATCTATAGAAATTTAATTTTTATTTGCATTAGTTTACTTTGCAATGATTGCTGTGTGATGGCAATTTTATTTGCATTAATTAGTTTAATTTGCATAATTTTATTTTGAATTAATGAATACAAATTAAATATTTACTTTGCATTCATGTGAATAGGACATTAAGTCATTTCTTTTCAAATTACAATACAGTAAAACACGCATAAAACGAGTGCTAGGGACAGATGATTTTGATTCGTAATAAACGTAATTCGTTATATCCATTAGTATCACAATACAGGCTTAAAGTCACAAGGAATAAAAATTATTACGCTGTAAGCATCAATTCATTATAAGCGTGTTTGCTATAAGTGTGTTTTACTGTATTGATATACAGTCATACAGTATTATAAAACCTCCTGCAGTCTACATCTGTACCATTCTTCATTCAAATTGGACAAATTTTACAAGGAGCAATACTTTAGAATAATAGCACTTTATCTACCATTATAAGCTAGCCCATGGTACATGTATTCAGTTTGACATAAGCGGCCACTCATATGAAGCAAAATCTCACATGAATTTTGTTTCTTATAAGAATGAACTTACTCGTATACTTTGCCATCTGTTACTTGTCTGGTTGAGAGAGCATGAACACAGATTATTTTTAAACCACAAAATTAGATAAATGAAGGATTTGGGGCTTGGTATGATGTTAAATGGAGGAGGGAGTGTTCCACTGTCCTCAAAATAACTCATCCATAGTTTGGACCGGGCAAACTTCCACTCTTCATCTGCTTGGCTCTGGAAAAGATATCACAAAGTTCATATTCAATTACAGGACACAAACAAAGATATCACAAAGTTCAAATTCAATTACAGGACACAAACTTTCTACCTATATACCATATAGTTGGTTTCTTAAGTGGATGTAAAATTTGGCATTTTACTTGTTCAAAGGTATGCTAATAATTTTGGTGGGATTTATAACGGACAAAGGATTACATGACCTTGTAAATACCAAGAAGAATACTGGCTATTTTACTGAGCTACAACTAAAATGTTAAAATAAGCCAAGGTTAGCACCCTGCTAAAATAACCCGCTATACTGTTAAAGAATGTTCAAATATATCTTGTACTTTCCTCAGTTCATGTAAATAAATGAAAACAAATCCCTCCTATTTTGGTTGAAATTTTAAGTCATATTAACTTTAGGTCAAATTAAATAAAAAATTCCTTTCAAACAAGCTCTCCACTATAAATATAAGAACAGCATTTAATTTTGTACTGTGCACACTAAACGTCAAACAAGGTCTTTTGGATGGTATACATTCCAGAAGTACTCTCTTGGATACAGTGGTATGTGGGTGGGAAATAGCTGATTTTCACAGAAATATTCCACCTTTATATTTGTTATCCAACACCAAATCACATTATACATTTATTGACTGGGTTCGAGGGCAACATGTGTTTTGTCGGACCCAAGAACCAAACTGTTTGCCTGAGGCCGTTAGGCCAAAGGCAAACAGTTTAGTTCGAGGGTCGACAAAATGCATTTTGCCCAAGAACACAGTCAATAAATGTTTTGTTATACCTTTTATTTTATTTACATACATGTATCGTGTACTGGTGTCCATAATGTAAATTTCCTTTACCCGCACTATGGTTAAACCTGTGATGTAGCAGTCCAATATCTCATCGACAGGTCCAATATCTCATTCAGCAGTCAAACATCGATTTTCAATGGACCGCTCAGTAAAACATTGGAAATGTCAGACTTTTTTTAGTATAGATTTATTTAAGGAATCACTGTCTAGTTAGTAGAGTATGCCAGGGCATCAACGATAGTTGGAAACGTGGGATAATTTGCATAACGGGCCAAGATTAATGAACCAGAAAGGGTCATCGGGAAATAAAATAAAATCCAGACAAGTTACATTGGATGGACAGACATAATGATTACTATCTGGTGCCCATATAGAGTGGGGAAACATTTAAACAACTGACTGATTTATATGTACCAGTAAATACCTAACTAAAGAATGCCTGGTTTTGCCCAGAAATCTTTCAGGGTTTATAAATTCTAAAACTCACTGATGTATTGTGGTACGAGTTACTCATCATGGCTATGAGCAAATTCAGAAGAACAACTAAGGCTATCCAGCTATAGGAACCAAACATCAGCTTTCCTATAAACTCAGTGAATATGTGCTTCTCCTGTAGCTCTGCATTGTTCAGATCTATCAGGCCATAGATAGACCAATACAGGGTCTGTAGAATCTGAAATAAGCTGAAAGAGAATTTACTACACACTTTTATCATGTTTTGCTTGTATTTACATCAGGTTTTAAGACTTAATTGTAAATTTAATTGGCATTAAAAAGATGCATTTTAAAAAAAACAAGAGGCCCATGGGCCTTATAGGTCACCTGAGTATCATATAACAACTTTCCAACAATTGAATTTTGTTCGTGTTTTGAAACAGGGGCCATGAAATTCACAATTTTGAAAGAGGTACCATTGCTCATCATAACCATACACTTAGCATGCTTACTTTGATTACTTACTTGATACCCAGAGACAGAGCAGTAGAACAAAGAAAACATTAAGGGCCATGAAATTCACAATTTTGGAAGTGGCACCATTGCTCATCATAACTAGGTACATAGTTCATTGGTTTAATACTCAGGAGTAGAGGAGAAAATTTTAAAAGAATTAATTCATTTTCACTATATAATATACAGAGCCCCAACCTAACATCAGAACCCCTGACTCAGGGTCCATGAAATTCACACTTTTGGAAGAGGCGCCCTTCCTCATCATAGCTATGTACATAGTCATTGGTTTAATACCCAGGAGAAGAGGAGAAGATTTTCAAAGAATTAATGCATTTTCACTATATAATCATTAGAGCCCCACCCTAACATCAGAACCCCTAACCCAGGGGCCATGAAATTCACAATTTTGGAAGAGGCACCCTTCCTCATCATAGCTATGTACATAGGTCATTGGATAATACTCAGGAGCAGAGGAGGAGATTTTTAAAGAAATAATGGATTTTCACTATACATTGTATAATCATTAGAGCCCCGCCCTAGCACCAGAACCCCTGACCCTGGGGCCATATATTTCACAATTTTGGTAGAGGGCTCAATGCTTATTACAATCATGTCAACAGTTGGCTGCTTATAGATGCACCCAGAGAAGCTATATGCCAAAATAGGTCAAAATTGGTTCAGTGGTTTCAGAGAAGAAGCTGAAAATGTTTAAATGTTAACACACGATGGACGACGCAAGACGACGGACGAAAACATATAGCAATAGGTCACCTGAGTAAACTCAGGTGACCTAAAAACATGACCAATGGCATATAACACTTTTATATATAACAGCATTAGCACTGAATTATTCTTTAGATATCAAAATTTTCTTCCTTGTTGATATTGAAAAAAAATACAATTTTATTCTATCATGAAGTAAACGTACTTGGCAAATCTTTTGTATCTGCGATCACAGGACTCCTCTATATTCTGCTCCCTACACTCCCTCTCTCTTAGTGTTGCATAGTACCAATATAAATGATTCAATCCACAGGCAAAAGAAAACAGCACCAACCCGTATAACACTGCAAACTTCATAATGTCCAGGATCATACGACCCAAAGATATCTGCAGGGGCCCCAAATGGGGATTCACTGTAAAAATGTAAATCAATTTCAAAGAACTAAATATATTGGCTGCAGCGAACAGAGACTCTGCTATAAGATTTGGGTCGTAGGCATTCCAGTCTTTTCTTTCTAGTTGTGCACTTGGTTTATTTTCTTCTATTTCTTTCTGTACCTGTAAGGAAATATAGATATTGTATTGTACGAAGAGAAATTGTAGGCTTCAATGCCCTTGTTTTTTTTTATTCAAATTGTTGATCTTAGTTTGAGAAGAGTTATCCCTCTTGACAGTGTAGATCAAATCTTGGTATTTCAACTTCAAAACAGCAACTTCATCAAATTCTGCTGAACTTACCTGTAAATAAGCTATTAACCTAAGTGTAAATGTTGCTATGTACAAAGAATTCGTAACAAAGTCCAGAATATTCCACATGTCATGGACATAATCATGTGCTCCTTCATCCCAAAGCTGTTTGATCTCGGTCCATATTAGACCTGTTAAAAAAAAGGTTACACACAAGTTTATGGTCAACAAACGAATTCAAACTTTTGGGAAAAAGTTTTAAAAGATGTCAGAAGTCATTATATTTAAAAATGGAGCTTATACAATCATTGATATACTTAATGTCAAATTGTACTCATTTTTATTATTCAGTGCAGTTTGCAATTAAACAAAATTACTTTTTCTGTTTCTGAGTAAATTTATCTATTGTAATATGTAATATGAGTGTTTTTCAGTGGTGTCCATTATAAGCTGTTGGCAGCCATTTTACCAGCTACATAGGCCAAGATCATCCATTCCACCATTGTGGCTGGAGCACCCCTTCGTTCTAACTTGATCTTCTCTATGTCTGACCCCACTTTGGTTGATAAGCCAGGAATAGGAATCTCTACCCTCTGTGACACCAAAATCAGTAAAACTGTCCAAAAAGAAACCATCCCCAGTAAATACACAGATCAACAAGTACCCAAACCATGATTCAGATATTCATACAAAAATTAATGAAATTTCATACTTCAATCTTCATAGATGTCCAACATTAATGAAGTACTGGGTACATGAATTTTTTTTTAAAGATGTATTTGCATATACATGTATATATCAAACTCTAATTTAAACTTGGTGAAAGATATTATACTTCAATTAAAATACTGTAAATATACTTTTTTCTGTGGGTCATAATTCCACGGAATCACAATTTCTGGTCAATCCGCAGGTAGAAAATGGATTATCATTGTATGTTTTAACTGTATGCTGTGACAAATTTCTGCAGAAAATCTGTGACCATGTACAAAGCATAAATTTATCCCACATCGAAAATAGTATGTCTACAGTAACAAAATAAACTACTGTAGAAAATAAACTTACGTAGGAATGTAATATAAGAAGCACTGTGACATATAAACTTTATAAAAGGCTTTCGTATAAGTTTGCCTAATCGACTCTTGGGTGCTAACAGATAAAACAATGACAGCAGTGGAAAAGTGAGTCCTATTAAAAATGTTATCATCAATCTGGATACGATATTATGTCGGCGGAAACCCGGCAAGCCCTCGTACCACAGAGAGGCTAAAAGTTGTTGGCAGTTAGGATGGGCTACAAACTGAAACAGAAAAAAACAGAGTTATCTTTCTTTTAACACCACTGCTTTGTCATAACAAGAAAATTATTGAGGAATAATTCCACTGTTAAAGATCTTCAGTACAGTCATTTCTATTTTTAAGAAGGACAATTAAGTTTTGAACACAGAGGGGGAGGTTAATATTTTCTTCCTGGGTATTTCAACTTCTTAGAATTACCATTATGAAGTTGTATTTGATATCAACAAGCAATGGCATCAAAATATGAAGATTAGTGTCTTCTATTAAAATAGATTTTATTTTAACAGCACCGGCAGGTTTACATAAAGGTATAATACACTTTTAAGGCAACAACCTTTTGGAGATAGATGTAAAAAGAAAAAATTATCAAACTTTGCTGCTACCAGAGCACTGACAACTAGGAAATATCTATGAACTACAGAATTTGGAAGAGGCAAGTATATATAAGAATTTATGAAATATGTATTAGTGCTCTTGAGTCCACAACTTCATTCACACATATCACTACAGTAAAACTCATTTAGTACGCACACGTATTTACGGATATAGCAAATTTTTTTGCAATCCCCAGCGAAATTCTTCACATTTCCTTGTAAACTTTAACAGATATACATGTAATGAACTCGGATATAGTGAATTTACAGTTATAGCGAACTGATTTTGCATCCCCTAGAAGTTGAAAATAAATAAATTTACATCTTTTATAGCGAATCTTCGAAGATCTAAATTTTAAAAAGATTGAACTGACATCATTTTGTAAGTATTTATATTTGAAACTCAGTTTTTCCAAAAACTTTTGTGTTCCAAAGTAAATTTAGTATTTTATACTTCCCTTCAATACATTTGGTAGACACACTTGAAGGAAAAAATCTATATTAGTAGTACTTATGAATTTGCTATATATACATTAAGGAATTCATTATACAGATATAACAAATTACGGATATAGCGAAGTAAATTCGCAGGTCCCAAGAACTTCACTATAAATGAGTTTTACTTTATGTCTTGCACCTCAACCTTTCGTCTTTTGTACCTGAACTCAAAAGGCTTATTCTTCATTACTATAGGAAGTATGACACTTACAGGTCATATGGTACTTGTTTATTTGTGTCTATACAATGTAGGGATTACCTATTAGATTCTTTGACCTTGCCCTTTGGACCTCTGGCCACCTAGCATCTCTGTAGCATTGCAGTGTAATACTGAAAGTTCTGATGGCAAGTACCCTTTACACTTTGTGCAAAAAAGCTTAAGCTGACTTGCATGCCTGCACATATGCTTGCACTCATTGAAACTCACATACTTGCTAATAATTTTATCACCTACAACTTTGTTGTCCATTTTTTTTTTTAATTTAGCCTCCTCCTCAAAGAAAAACCTATATCCAACTGATTATTTGTTTTAAAAGATTGCTCTCATTTCATGCAAACATTTTGTTTGTTTGAAAGGTAAAATCTTGAGATACGTCCTGACTTTTGTTAAAGATAATTGTCAAAGTTTTCGAGAAAATACTTCATTTTGTCATCCAGAAAACTATTAATGTTTTTAGGACTCACTTATAACTTGGACATTGAGGTTTGGTCCAAAATTTAACTCCCAAAGATCTTATTTATAAGCAAGTATATAACCTACCCTGGGTCCATATCATAGGTCCAAGAAGAATTCACTGCTTATTTAATTGTCATGGAAATAGTTTAATAAATGTGCAGGATTTAAAGACTGCCTTATTGGTTTAGGGTTGACCCCACTGGTCATCCCTTGAGCCCCAGAGGAGGGAAGACTATGAAATTCAGTATTCCTCTACACCCACGACAGTAATGTAAAACATGCTTAAACATTCATGTAGTGTCTGCATTGGATGAACAATTTGATTTGTTATAAACATGACTTGTTATAAACATGATTTGATATATCCAATAAATTCATGAGATATGTCTTAATTAAGGTCAAGATCTAGTAAATGAAAGGTGCCTATAGATTTTTCAAATTTGAGAAGCCAGTTCTTTTAATGATCCTTTACAAATCTAGCTTGGTGAAATAAGGTGTATCGGGACATAATTTTTAGGAAAACTCAACAAAAAAAACATGTTTTAAACTATCATTTTCAATGAAAAACTGAAGAAAGTCAGGTATAAATTTTGGAGTTTTTCCATCTCAGAAAAAAGAAATGTATCAATATTGCCCACAGTCTCTCAGAAAACAGTTTTCAGTGTCTTCCAGGCCTCTACTTGAAAATGAAATCAAATTGAATATATGTATTGGGGTTACTTTTGACATGATTTCAAATAGAATTCCATGAAAATGCTTCATTTTATACAAAATTCTATTACAGCCATAAAGTAGGGGAAAAATTAAGTCTAAATCAATTATGACGTCATAATGGATCTACCTTCAAAAAGACAGTCTAAACTCATTTTCTAAATGATGGGGAATGATAATCACTTGGCTATAAGTGTAAGCTCATTATTGGCATTTATGGTTCACTGTAACTGTGTTTTACTGCACTTTTAATTTCATATCCCCATCATTGTATTTAATTAACCTTTTTAAAGGACAAATTAATACACTTCACATGATACTATAAGCCCTAGCTACTCAGACCAAACTCAAGATGGCATCATGCATCGGCAGATGCAGACTTGGATGCTATATATATTGTAGATGTGTCCAAAGATACTATGTTAATGCAATTATCTTTACTAATGCACATTATTGAACATTCCTTGGAAAGACTTTCTCTCAATTATAGATTACAATCTCGAATCTTTGATTACCCTGTACTTATTTTATATATAATGATTTTCCTTTTCCAATTCATTTTAAACTCAGTGTCATACTAAGTGACCTTGTAGTTCTTGTTTTTGTAAGAATATACATAAAGAACATATGAATTTTACTACAGTCAAACCTCGTTATCTCTAATGCAATGAGGCTGAGAAAAAACTTCGAGATATCTGAGGATTCCAGATATTGAGGGTAAAATACTTAAAGAATAAGGGCTTGGGACTTTCAAATCACTTCGAAATAGCCATGGTATTTGAGATATCAGTGTTTGAGATACCGAAGTTCAACTATATTTTTTTTTTACTGCATGTTCAATTTATATCAGTTCTGGAAAATTAAAAATTTTTAAATTAGATATTCACTACAATTAGTGCCCAATTTTCACCTAGAAAGATTAAATTTGTATTTTAGTAAATATTCAGTTGATATGTATGTTTGTTAACTTTAATGACATCATGAGCCAAAGATGAAAGCTAGTGCACGGGCTTTTGGAGTGGAAGAATGACACTTTATAGTTGTCCATCTATCTGTAACCTGTTTCATGTCATTTGTAAACTTGTAACATTTTCATCACATCCTCCAGATCCACTGTGCCAGTTCAAAAAACTTCCTTTGGCAAAGAGGATTCATATATAATCAAATTAGTGTTGTAAACAAGTATCAGGTTAACTGATTAATCGTCGAACAATGCGAATATCCAGCGGGTTATTAAAACTGCTACTCGGTTACTCGGATATGGAGACAAAAGTAGAAAAGGAATGCTATTTTGTTGATAAATTAATACTTACATTTGTCCCCCATTTTATTTACCGTTATTTAACATTAGGCTTGATCTAGCATTTCACAAACACGACCAATTTGTTTTGATTACACTTACTAATTGATTGCTTTGATTGCCAAGGGGTATACCAGTTTTGAAGATAATTAAGTTAATTATAATAACCTAGTTAAATTGTGCTAGTCCGCAGTGCATGATTAAAACAAGATGCCGCCAAAACATCAGAGGTATAGATTCCAAAATATTTTAAAAGAATTTAAATCCGTAGAGTGTAAAATATGTGAAATGGAATTAACATACACAGAAACAATAACTCTGAAACCAGGGATCTAATAAGATTGCAAAGACAGCCAACTTTTACGGGATATTAAAAACAATTTTATTTAGAAGCTTTTGAGTTTTTGCAATTATAAATAAATAAAGTACATATTCACTGCATTTGTGTCAATGATAAACACATAAATTGTAACGGAGTAATGTTTATTACAGAAATGTTGAATATGTACCGCCAGCAAGGATGTTAGAGGTCTAAAGAAAAAGCATCCAAGTAACTGGGTACTCGATCAGAAATGTAAGCAAGTAATAATAATAAGGGTTACTGAAAATCATTCGATTTGACAACACTAAATCAAATGATTAGGGCCATGCACTTTTCCAATGGGATAACAAAATAACTTGGTGTCATTTTAAAAATCTCTTCTTTAAGAACCCCTGCACTAGAAAAGAATTTTGGTGCCTACTTTACAGCATATGCTGTGGAGGTTTACACTGTTATTTAATCTAGCTACAGATTTCCCATGAGGTCTGACAGTTAATTTCTGTATCAGATAGGAAGTGATTGTGTGCAGCAAGCAAAAAATTCAATTTGGTGACCATACCATATTCTACCACTCTTATGACCAAGTGTAACTACTGGGTACAGAGTTCCTCAACAAATATATCTGAACAATTAAAGCATACCAAGGTCTATACTGAAATTCAGTTTATGTTATTTTTCTCATTTTTCATGCTGCAAGAAAATAAGATCTAGAATATTGATTGATTGTATATAATTGTTCAACATTGCATTTCTACTTTAGAGGTTTCATGTTGCATTACTACTATATAAAGTCACATGTAAAGGGCACACTTGTGTAAAGGACACACCTCCAAAGTGGGGGGGGGGGGGGGGAGGTTCTTGGAAAAACACAGATCCTATGGATAAAACGATATGGATATGACTTATTTTACCAGCACATGTTATGTAAAGAAAATGTTTGAAAAGTTGAAATATTTATACCATTTTAAAAACAAAAGTAGCTAGGACACAATTGATTAATTTTCTCTTTTTGTTACTCATACATGTATTACTGTTTATACTCGCCTATAAGTCAGTTAAATATTTTCAGATTATTTTTGAGGGATTTGCCGTTGACCCGCTTATAAGTCGGTACAATTTTTTGGCCAGAATCGGCAAACAATTTCAAATCAATGCTCTTATGTTTAACCAGTGTTTCAAATAATACTTTAAGAAATGAAGCCGTTTTTTTTCCTCAGCAAATCAATTGCATATTGATACTCTTTGAATGTATTTACTTGTGTTCAAATAATATTTTTGGATATGGCATCATTAGTTAACCTTTATTTTTCAACAGATTATCAGTAATCATCGGAAATGTTTGAGAAATACTACATTCCTCTGTCCAGAAAAATACTAACTTTTTACGACTCACCTATTAGTTGGACATAGAGTTTTGAACAAAAATTCAACTCCCAAAATACTGGCTTATAGGCAAGTATATATGGTAATCCATTTGTATAGTAACAGGCATACCATATATGCATTGCTCTCAGCTTGTCCTTGCAAGTGCTTAGCAACACTTTGCAGGATTTCTGAGGCCTCCATGAGTTTATTTCAATCTGCTATATTCTCAAAATACTGCAAAAATTATCTTACACATCATTACATGTATTGACCCCCTGAGGATATTCTTCTTACTGAATATTCATTGGTTTCTTGACTAACATTGTTGTCTGTTAATTGGCCTAGGTATAGCATGAGCCTTTGGAAATTCAAAATTGCACCCCAGTTCTTGAGGATCATTACCAAACAAGAGGCCCATGGGCCACAACGCTCACCTGAGTAACTTTGGCCTTGCTGTTTTTCACCCGATTTCCCCCTTGTAATACCTATTGTGGCCCCGCCCTACCCCAGGGGTCATGATTTGAACAATTTAGAATCTACACTACCCCAGGATGCTTCCACATAAGTTTCAGCTTTTCTGGCCCAGTGGTTCTTGAGAAGAAGATTTTTAAAGATATTTTCTACATATTTCAATGTAAAACTTGGATTCCCTATTGTGGCCCTGCCCTACCCCTGGGGGTCATGGTTTTAACAATTTAGAATCTACACTACCCCAGGATGCTTCCACATAAGTTTTAGCTTTTCTGGCCCAGTGGTTCTTGAGAAGAAGATTTTTAAAGATTTTTTCTACATATTTCAATGTAAAACTTGGATTCCCTATTGTGGCCCTGCCCTACCCCAGGGGGTCATGATTTTAACAATTTAGAATCTACACTACCCCAGGATGCTTCCACATAAGTTTCAGCTTTTCTGGCCCAGTGGTTCTTGAGAAGAAGATTTTTAAAGATATTTTCTACATATTTCAATGTAAAACTTGGATTCCCTATTGTGGCCCCGCCCTACCCCTGGGGGTCATGGTTTTTACAATTTAGAATCTACACTACCCCAGGATGCTTCCACATAAGTTTTAGCTTTTCTGGCCCAGTGGTTCTTGAGAAGAAGATTTTTAAAGATTTTTTCTACATATTTCAATGTAAAACTTGGATTCCCTATTGTGGCCCTGCCCTACCCCAGGGGGTCATGATTTGAACAATTTAGAATCTACACTACCCCAGGATGCTTCCACATAAGTTTCAGCTTTTCTGGCCCAGTGGTTCTTGAGAAGAAAATTTTTAAAGATTTTTTCTACATATTTCAATGTAAAACTTGGATTCCCTGTTGTGGCCCCGCCCTACCCCCGGGGGTCATGATTTGAACAATTTAGAATCTACACTACCCCAGGATGCTTCCACATAAGTTTCAGCTTTTCTGGCCCAGTGGTTCTTGAGAAGAAGATTTTTAAAGATTTTTTCTACATATTTCAATGTAAAACTTGGATTCCCTATTGTGGCCCCGCCCTACCCCCGGGGGTCATGATTTGAACAATTTAGAATCTTCACTACCCCAGGATGCTTCCACATAAGTTTCAGCTTTTTTGGCCAGGTGGTTCTTGAGAAGAAAATTTTTAAAGATTTTTTCTACATATTTCAATGTAAAACTTGGATTCCCTATTGTGGCCCCGCCCTACCCCCGGGGGTCATGATTTGAACAATTTAGAATCTACACTACCCCAGGATGCTTCCACATAAGTTTCAGCTTTTCTGGCCCAGTGGTTCTTGAGAAGAAGATTTTTAAAGATTTTTTTCTACATTTTTCAATGTAAAACTTGGATTCCCTATTGTGGCCCCGCCCTACCCCCGGGGGTCATGATTTGAACAATTTAGAATCTACACTACCCCAGGATGCTTTCACATGAGTTTCAGCTTTTCTGGCCCAGTGGTTCTTGAGAAGAAGATTTTTTAATGACCCCACCCTATTTTTGTCTTTTCTTGATTATCTCCCCTTGGAAAGGGGCTTGGCCCTTTATTTTAACAATTTAAACTCCCCTTTACCCAAGGATGCTTTGTACCAAGTTTGGTTAAAATTGGCCCAGTGGTTCTTGAGAAGAAGTTGAAAATGTGAAAAGTTTACAGACGGACGGACGGACAGACAGACGGATGGACGGACGGACGGACGACGGACAACGGGTGATCAGAAAAGCTCACTTGAGCTTTCAGCTCAGGTGAGCTAAAAAGGGATAGTGCATCCAGATTCCCAAGTAAATAAGGTTCGTGATAGGTACCTATAGGGGCTTTAGGCACACTACCACCAGTATAGGGTGTACCATTAGGTATCAACAAAATTTCCCTCCCACTATTGACATTTATTATATACCCAACTGTTTGTCATTCAGTTTTACTGCTGAATTTATGCAATCATGTGACGGTGTGATCCGACGTTCCGGATCACCACACTGTGGTTTTCTGAATCCATATCACCCCTCTCTGAAACTGATGACGTAGTACACAGATAAATGACGTTTTTATTCTCGCGTATCAAAAAGTTCCTTTACAAAATGGATTGTTTAATGGATAAAAGTTATGTAATTGATCTAAAAAGCTTCCTATTATTATATTTTGCTAGTTGGAAAGGGGTATATAATAAATTTATCATTATAACAGTAACTTGATCCGAAGAGTCGTATCACGTCTCGTTGACAGGCGCGGATCATCAGATCAAACTCGACGCTTCGCGTCTCGTTTGATCTGATGATCTGCGCCTGTCAACTTGACGTGATACGACTCTTCGGATCAAGTTACTGTTATAATAATATATATTTATCAGACCTGATCCTCTATATTGCCATAACAGAAGCTAAATTATTATAAGTGCCACTTCACCATTTTTTTTATTTTTCATTTTCTACTCTTTAATCTGTATAATTTACACTTTAAACTGTATAATTCACACAATCATTCAGTAAACCTCATATGTATATCATGAATAAACATGATTTAAAGCTAATAGCTGGACCATAAATCCTGCAAGTTTATATTTTAGTCTTAAAAGGAGATGGGTGAACAAAGCCTGCAGAACGCCTATGTCTTCAGATATATAAACATAGGTAATCAGTGATTACAGAGCTCACCTCAACGAATGTTGTCTTTAAGTAAGGCTAAGTCACACACTAAACTAATAATCTAGTAGTGTGCATCCCTAGATGCAACATTTATGCAATTTTGGTCTGATATGGCTTGCTGCTTGGGAATGGACTTATCTAAAACTAGTCACTCATCCAGAAAATGCAAGTCAAATCCAGCATCTGTTATTTAAAAAGGTAATGTGGTATTTGTGGGGTTTGAACCCTTGCAAAAAAAATCCGGAGTATCATTTTCCTTTGAGACTAACATGCTAATTAACCACTATGCTACAACTCCTGATAAATATTGGCATTTAAATCAGGTTTCTGATATGACCCTAGACTAAATGGACTTCAAGTATTTCTCGGAAAGATGCAAATGTTGTATGGTAAAGGTGTACTTTTAAGGTATAGTGGGTCTTTACTCCATTTGTTGGTTAACCAAAAAATGTATATTTTTATGCAAACTTTGAGGATAAACTTTCATTAAAATGGAGCGAAGACCCATTCATATTAAAAAATGTGTATTATAGTATGAGAAAATTATCCTTTTTGCCCTCTTTAGTGTGTGTATGCAATTTCATAGGCAAATAATTTCAATCTTTGTGAGATTTTTGCAAATTGTGGAGATTTTACATATGGTAATATTTTTATTATTATAATAATATAATATTTTTAAATTTCAATATGAACTGTGTGTTTCTAACATATTTTTTTTTTTTACTATTTCCAAACAAAACATTCCTTATAACCATTGTTAATAGCCCTCCATTGATACCATCACAAATTTTGCCTATTTATACTGTTAATTTAGGTGGCAAGATTGAGAATAGACAATAAATGACAAGAATAAATACCTTTTTCTGTTTAAACTTGATGGCCAGTTTTAATCGACTGAGCTTAAGCTTGTCACTAGCGCGAGGTTCCATCTCCTGTCCTCCCTCGTTGTAGGCGGGATTAGTTGTATCATGGTTCAAGATCACTTCCAACTCCTTGGATCCACGGATCTGTTCCAGCAAATCCACTGCAAATTCTTGGCACTTTTTGGCTAATTTTTCATAATCCAACTTAAACTCATTTTCTAATTTGCTAAGTCTTCTAAGTTCCCAACTCAATTCAAAAGAGGTCAGAATAGGGTCTTTACTAGACAAAGCGATTAAGGAGGGACTTGCTAGTGCTTTGTAAGCATTGATGCGCGACCGACTGTGACGTAGACTGTCATCGGTACTTCCATCCATGCATGATTTACAGTAACACTTGATGTTGTGGGGTTTGGGGATCTGGTATCCCCGGTCTAGTAGTAGTTTGATGATTTCGTAGTTGTCACGGTGAGCTGCCAGGATTATCGGGGTGATATCGGGGGTAAATGAACTGGAGGGAACACTCTGATGAAGAGACTGAAAAAAAAGCTTTGTTATTAGTGTTATCAGTCTATTACTTTCAAGAATTATCTCTTAACTTTAATAAAATCAGTTGTAAAATCATAGGTAATTTGCAGCTTCTCATGTATAAGGCAAAGAATAATCAAGAATAATTAAGTTTTTATGTCCCCGTAATTGGAAATTCAGGAGCATTTAGTTTTTGCCCTGTCTGTCCATCTGTCTGTCTGTTTGTCCACAAAACTTTAACCTTACCCATAACTTTTGATTGATTGGAGCTATGGCTTTCATATTTCACATGTGTATTCCTTGTGACAAGACCTTTCTTTGGGTATCATCATACTTGACCTTGACCTTGGATTTTTGCCCCTGTTTTGCAAAATTTTACCCAACTTTAACCTTGGTCATAACTTTTGAACAGTTGGTGCAAGGGCTTTCATACTTCATACGTGTCATCCATGTGACAAGACCTTCCTTTGGATACCAACAACTTGACCCTTTGACCTTGACCTAGGAGTTTGACCTACTTTTGGAAAACTCTAACATTGGCCATTACTTTTGAACAGTTGGTGCTAGGGCTTTCATATATGTACTTCACATATGTAATCCTTGTGACAAGACCTTACTTTGGATACCAACAACTTTGACTCTTTGACCTCGACATAGCAGTTTTACCTTCTTTTGAAAAACTTTAACCTTGGCCGTAACTTTTGAGAGGTTGGTGCTAGGGCTTTCATATTTCACAAGTGTATTTCTTGTGAGAAGGCCTTTCCTTGGGCACCATTAATTTTGACCTTGATGTTTGACTTACTTTTGAAAAACTTTAACCTTTTCCGTATCTTTTCAATGGTTTTTCAATACAAGGGCATCAGTGTTTCACAAACACATCTTGTTTTAAAGAAGATTACAAAAGAAAATTCTAATCTGCATGTAGTACATCTTTTTTTCAACATGTCTGATTGTTTATCAATATACATTTCAAAATGTGAGACAAGAAAATTGATGCTTTTTTCTCTAAGGGCAAAGAAGGTTTAGATGAAGATATTTTGAGGGGAAGTCTGCTCAATTTAATCTGCATAATATATTCCTTGTCCAACTCAACATCTGTTTCAAGTACAATTACATACATCATTTAGAGGATACTAAACAAAAGGAAAAACTATCTTAGCTAACAAGGTGATCATTCAATTTAATCATATGGCTCTGACTATTAGACATGCATTTCACAAAGTTTGGAAACTCAATGCAGCCTTACATGTGTCCACAGAATCATTATTTCTCTATAAAGACCCACTTTTTATAAACTTCCTTTATGTTAAATGTTACACCCACATATTCCTCTCATATGATCTGAGGTCCATGATTTAAACAAACTTTAATAGACACTACTTATTAATAAGGGGATGGTTTTTTTTTTTTTTGTAAGCTACATCAGTTTTTATTGCAATGCAGTGGCAGATCCAAGATTCTTGAAAGGGGGGGGGGGGGGGGGCACCAGTTTGGGATTTGGGTGGGGGCCCAGAGTCCACACCAAAAAAATTGATTTATTAAATCTTATGTATATTTTTGGACACAAAGGGGGAGGCCCGAGCTCCCCACCCCTAAATCTGCCAAAGCAATGATTTTAAACAACTAAATATTATGTTCACATTCCAAATTCATTATTTCTTAATCTTCTCACCTTGGAAAGAACCTTTTCTTCATTTGAACAATCATAAATTTCCTTACTCCAAGAAAATATATTGTAAAGTATGGGTCAAATATGTCCAGTTATACTGAAGCATCAAAGTATTGAAAAAAAGGACCAGAAGTAGACTGTAGCTCTACTGCTTTCTTTTAACATTAAGGAAGAGAAAAGTTACACAGACTTGAAAATATGGTGATCAACACCAATAAATAGAATTATGATACCTAGAAATCCCACAGAATGTGTAGATATAGCCTTTTGAAAAAAAAGATCACAAAAATTTCTATTTTTAGGAACCATGGCAACACCCATTGACAAAACAGAAAAAGTGATTTTAAAAATATAACTATGTATCTTTGTGTAGTCTATCTGTATGCCAAGTTTATTGAAATCAGACTAAAACGGTAGGATGAGTAACATTTTGAAAGAATTTCACAGAAATATCTCTATTTAGTAACCATGGAAACACTGTTTGTTGCAATCAAAAACTGATATATAAAATTAATCATCTTAAAAACATGCAATCTGGGTACATAAAAATTTAAAAGAGAGCAAATAGCTGCATCTTTAGCAACCCTTTAAACATGAAGTCAGAGGCAAGGTTACTTAGATGGGATCCTCAAGGGAACCTGATAAGCATTAAAAGGGGATAAAACATTAATGCATGCAAGAGGAAAATCTGCAACATGGAGAAAATTTTATTGTACATACTTTAAAAACAATATTCAAAACAATCCCTTGTCCATTGGGAGTACATGTATAAGGACTCAAAGACAATAGCACATCAATATTAATTTTCATAATCTATTTTATAAGCTATGAAAATATCAAATTAAAACATAAGCTATAGATCTAATCACAGTAGAGCAGCACACTCTGAGATAGGTGTAGATCTACTTTTAGTTTTTGAAAGAAAATAAAAAGTATCTTCTAAAATTGATAAAATAATTTCAAACTATAAAAATATTCTATACAAAGACAGAATAATGCACTGCATAAAATAGCTTGGTACAAGTATAATACATGTATGTTAGCTGATATAAACATGCAATGACTGATTACATGGGTTTTGTACAATAAAAAAAAAACAACAACAATTTTTTTGAGGTACTATAGAATTTATGTTTTGCCCATGTGAAATCTTTACTATCAAAATTAGGGATATACTGAATTTGATGTTATAGTTTGTTTTATTTCACTTATATTTTTATAATTTGCAAGTTTTTTTTAGATACTCGAATGGCATATACTACAAGCAGTAATTATCATTCCATAGCTCCCTTCAAATTACAACAATTTGTTGAGCTCAATTATTTCACAAACAGTATTGCAATTTTGATAATTCATTGAGAAATTATAGATACTTTCACCAAAAATCCATAAACTGTATCGCCACGTAGATGTTTCCAACAAAAGAATGATTGAATTATTCGTTTTTGTACATGAATAAATATCTACAGTACCTCTGTTTAATAGCACTATAAAATTAAAAATAAAACTGCAAAGACATTTCAATACCAGTGTAGCACACAGAACTCTGATACAGATGAATTAATATGAATTCTGAACATTGATGTGTATTCATGATACAATAGTAGTCCATCCATCAACTTTTTGTTTTCTAAATTTTTTTTCAAATGTTTTCCATAATACATGTATTAAATATATTACATTGACATTTGAATTACTAATAGAACATTTGCATTTTATGTGAAAGAAATGTAAGTGAAAGGAAAACAGGAACATAATCTTGAAATAATACAAATAATGATAGAATGGAAGAATATAAAACATGAAACAGTATTTTTCTGATTGAATTCCATCAGGGACCTGAGCATGATGGTTATGTGTTGGTATAGTATGCTGGTTATTTAAAATATACAACTGTATAAAATATGAATTATAATCTATATAATTAGTGGTATGTAGTGATAAGTTAGATCAAGGGAGAATACTCACCCTTTCATGACGTGAATCGATGGACTGTAATAGACCACACAAAATTAAGCACAGACACAGACACATATTTCTTACACATATCAAAGGCCTTTTTTTCCTATTACATATCCTTTCTCTACTTTTCTATCACCCTTCTTTCCCCCCCCCCCCCCCCCCCCCCCCATGATAAAAACTAGAGGCCCATAGGCCACATCACTCACCTGGTCACCTTGGCACTTTAGTTAGACATAAGCAAGAATCAGTTCAGTACTGAAAAGTTTAAATAATATTAAGTGGTCCCACCCTACCCCTAACTGATGATTTGAACAAACTTGCTTCCATATTTATATGACTAATCATGGCTTTGCTATTCTTGAGAAGAAGATTTCTAACGATTTTTTTCTACATATTCCCATATATAGCTTTGATTGCCTAAAGTGGCCCCACGCTATCACCAGGGGTCATGATTTGAACAAAATTGAATCTACATTATCTTAAGATTCTTCTGTATTAATATTACTAATCATGGCTTTGCTGTTCTAGAGAATATGACATTTGAAAGATATTTCCCATATATTCCTATGTACAACTTTGATCATCAGCTGTGGCCCCATCCTACCTAGGGATCATTATTTGAACAAACTTGAATCTACACTACCTGAGGATGCTTCAGTATTATGGCTTTGCTGGTCCTCAAATGCCAGTATATTTTCCTATATATTCTTAATTATGTATAACTTAACTTTGATCCCCTGTTGTGGCTCCACCCTACCCTGGGGGTCATAATTTGAATGAACTTGAATTTACACTACCTGAGGATGCTTCTGTATTAATTAATATTACTAATCATGGCTTTGCTGTTCCTTAGATTTTTAACGATATTTCCTTTATGTTCCTGTGTAAAACTTTGATTCCCTATTGTGGCCCCATCCTACCCTTGGGAGTCATGATTTGAACAAACTTGAATCTGCACTACTTGAGGATGCTTCTTGAACAAACTTGAATCTACACTACTTGAGGATGCTTCTTGAACAAACTTGAATCTACACTACTTGAGGATGCTTCTTGAACAAACTTGAATCTACACTTCCTGAGGATGCTTCTTTATTATTATTACTAATCATGGCTTTGTTGTTCTTGAGGGAAAGATTTTTAAAGATATTTCCTATATGTTCCTGTGTAAAACTTTGATCCCCTGTTGTTGCCCCACCCTACCCCTGGGGGTCATGATTAAAGAAATTTGAATCAACATTATGTAATGAAGCTTTCACATAAGTTTCAACTTTTCTGGCACAGTGTTTCCTGAGAAGACGATTTTTGAGAGATGCCATTAAATTTTCACTAATTCTTAATTATCTCCCCTTGAAAGATGGCCTGGCCCTTCATTTGAACA